GTTGGAATCAGTGCTCCATTAATAAAGTAAATTTCTGAAAAGGCACTGTTTATTTTCTTCCTCTCAAAAATGAGGACTGAATTGTTCAGAATTGGTTTGCATATTTTAAGTGGTCAGTCTAAACTGGCTTCTAGAATTGCATACTTTAAATATGTCCAGTTCAATGAGTAATAGTAAATCTTTGCTTATTAAAAAAAAATAACCTATTATTTAAGTTGTTCATGCAATTCTCTGGTAAAGATAACTAGAATTACATATTCCTTCATATGAGAAAAAAGTCTTTACTTACAAAATCAAGTTATTTATTTTTTTTTTCTGATATCTTCATCCAGGCATGTATTTAACAAATACTTTTGGGAACCAAACACATGTCAAGAGCAAAGTTAAGGACACCTATTACCTATTACACACTCATTCCAGATTTTTGTTTATTTCTCAATTGGCATTGGACCAAAATTCAAGAGAAATAATGCTTATGTTATAAATGACTACATATGAAATATATGTATTAATGTGTATATATATATATTTTTTTTTTTTTTTTTAAGATTTTGGTTATTTATTTGAGAGAGAGAGAGAAGCAGGCTCCCCGCTGAGTAGGTAGCCCGATGCGGGGCTTGATCCCAGGACCTGGAGATCATGACCCAAGTCAAAGGCAGATGCCTAACCAACTGAGCCACCCAGGCACCCCTATACTTTTTAAAAAAAAAAAGACTAGTAGCTGAGAATTGATGGTGAGAAAACACTAAAATGATCTATTTCCTCTCAGAGTTTAGAATAAACAGGGGCAAATAAGCAAATCAAAGGGGCCTATAAAGTAACATGAAACTGGATCTGGGACACAAGCCAGGGAGGAAAAACCTAAGGCACTTATGAGATCATGAGGACAAGATTTGACCTAGTGAGAGAGGTCAAGGAGGGCTTCCATGAGGAAGACACACTTGAGCTGAGGAATATATTTCAGACAACAAATGGGCAAATTCCTATAGCAGGAATGAGCATTAGAACAACGTCAGGAAAACAGGAGCAGGCTGTGCCTTAGAAGGGAAGAGAGGGATTCAACAACTTTCAAGGGTTGAGAAGCCAAGAATAATTAGGACCGAAAATGCCCATTAGTGTTTGGAAAAATAAAGATAGCCAGGGAAATTATCAAAAGCTGTTATAATGGAATGATGGTGACAGATGCCAACGGGAGAGGACAATAGAACTAGGCAAGCCTTCCAAGATGAAGAGAGTGTTCTAACTGCAAGGGGGTTAGGGAATTGAGAATTTTTGTGGGATTATTTTTTGGTTGTTGTCTGTCTGTTTTAATGAAAGAAATAGAATTGTGTTACAAATTTGGTAATCATCAAGAAGCTAAAGCCAAAGCAGACAACCAGGGTTTCCAATATGTTTCCACCCTGCAAATGCGGAGCTATGTGTCCTCTATGGCAGAGACGAAAATCGTATTTTCCCCTTGATGCGTTCATGTTGAAACACACATTGTTTCAGGTGGGTGTCTAGAAGTTAAGCTGATTTTCCAACTTAGTTATAACCATTTTTGAGTTTTTTCAGCCTATGTAGTTATAGATGTGTATTAAATTCCAGAATATAAAAAAATTACCTTTGCTGAGAAAAAGGATTCATTCATTATTCATTCATAAAATATCATGACCATTTACATTCAATAAGGCATACGTTTTATGAACTCTAGATGACTTGGGCACATAATGAACTAGTACTTCAGAACATCAATTTTTATTAAATCAAAATTCATCATTATGTAAAAATAGCATCACACTCACCAATTCACTATCTACCTTACAGCTTTGAAATGCTGTAATTCATTAAAAATGAAAATAAAACTTTGAACATACTGAGCTGTATATGATTTTCTCTTTAGAAAAGTTAATCCTATGAGAAGTTCATGAAGGATCTGTTCTCTATTCACTATAAAAAGAATGTATTTTTAATTTTTTAATGGGAGATTTCAGCTTCCTAAATAAAAAAAAAACACTAATCAGACTAAAATAAAATATTATTAATTTGGTAATACACCTAAAATGGGGGGACAAATGGGATGATCATTTTGCAGAGGTTAATAAATATTTTTTTCACTTGCTGGCCTGGTGACAAGTCAGAACTCATTTTCAGTTTATTTTAGTTTTGTTTTAATTAATAGAGCAAGCAAGTTTTTTCCCTATATTCTGCACGGTCAAGTAGTCAATTAATCCCCTGATTAATTACCACCTGGAAGGCACTGTGCCAGGCACGGGGTGGGGGGCACAGAAATGACAAACATCCCCTGTCCTCAGTTTCCAGTATCATAGCACTGAATCTACAAGTTCAGAGGAATCTAGACGGTATAACAGAAGCACAGAGAACACCTCAATCGGCCTGAGGAAAGCAAAGGAAATACCAGAGAGGAGATGATATTTAACTTGCTCCCTTAAGAAAAAGGATCACTCTGCAACATGATCAGCACAAAAGTGGAATTTTACTATCAGGAACAACTCAATCACTTCCAGTTCTGCTCATGTAAGTGCCCATATTACAGGATTTTTAAGTGGAAAGTTGAGTCAGAGGCCAGGAACCAGAGATAAGACTTTAAATATAGGCAAAAGGCAGATGACTATCAATCACGTGCATTAGGCAAATGGGTTTAAATTATGTTTTTTAAGAGACAAGAGTTCTCTGAAGGCTTTTTATTTTTTTTAATTTTTGAATTAAAGTTTTTATCCAGACTCTTCATTTGGCCTCCACTGATACCCAACTGGGAGAATGCTTCTCATTGCTACTGGTTGGGTTCCACTTCCAACAGTGGGTTTCCACTGATAACTCCCTGGCTGGGGGAGGTAAGAGTGTCCTGTTACTGCTCCCTGCATGGCCTTCTCTGACACGACCCCAATAGGGAGTGAGAGGGGTACCTCATTACTGATGGGAGAGGTGTAAGTCCAGACCCCTATGGGCTTCACTGTCACTGCAAGTTTGACGGGTCCTCATTACTACTAGGCAGGGATAAAAGTCTTGGCTCCCTAGTCAAACTTCTCTGACACCCCTATGGGAAGATGGAGGGTTACCGCTCCTCCTTACAACTAGATAAATGTGAAGTCTAAACTCAGCTTTTGCTGTTGGGGGGCGGGGAGAGACAGCATGGATTTTTCTGTGGTGTTTAGGCATATACATCTTATGCTCAAGATGAACTCACCATCTCCATGTATGGAACATCCAAAGATGGGCTAACAATAAGTTGGTGCTCATCAGGAAGATCTGATACAGAAATAGGAGTACTTGGAAGCCTTGGTTTAACTAGTACTACTAAATCTAACTACATGGAGATTACCCCCAAAATATAAGCAGAATGAGAAAAGAAGGCTAGGAATAATACCCATATAAGCCCCAATGTTTAGGACCAAAGTAAGAGAAACCAAGAGAAAAAAGGAGGTCAAGCTGTCTGAGAGATAGGAGAACAGAGGCGTAGAGCTCAATTTACTTTCATGAGCATTCATTGAGTGTTTAGTGTATGCTATGCACTGTTCTTGAGGGTCTCACGGTTTACTAGATATGAACAGATAATATCAAAACAGTATGCTCAGCTCAGTGATCAGTGATAGACATATGCTCAGGGGGCAGTGGAACCATGGAAAGGGCACCAAACAAAACCAAAGGCTGTAAGAGGAAACTTTGAAAAGATGATAACATCTAAGCAGAGTCTTCTAGTAGGAATTAACCTGGTAAGGAAAGACACAAGAAAAGTCATGGGAAAAGTCATACCAGGAAGAAGAAAAAGACAGAAAAACAGCAAAAGGACATGGAGCTCAAGAGGAGAGAGAATTACTTGCAGGAAACAGCATGGTTGATGCGCCAAGAGAGTGAAAAGAAAATCAGACTGAAGACCTTTTGACTTGGCCACTTATGAAGTCACTGTTGACCTCTGCTGCGGTAGATTCTAGGAAGTGATGCAGACAGAAATTGCATCAGAGTGGGATACAGAGTGACTAGAAGAATATTAAATTCACACAGTGTGGATTTGGTACTTTTTTCAAGGAGTTTAGTGGAGAAGAAAATAAAGATGGGATAGCTAGAAGTGGGCAAAGGTCTAAAAAGCTTTGTTTTGTTATCAGAAAGAAAAGAGGATGTTTACACAGTGTATGAAAGAAAGCAGAGTAGAGATGAAAGGTTTTAGAATGTAGTTATTATATTTAATCTTTTACATAAAAATACTTGTAAAACATCTACACTCTTCTTGAGCACATCATTCCAGGATAAAGACAAACAACTGAGCCCCTTTCATGGTGTTAAAATCATGTTTCAAATAAACTCAAAAAATAGGGTGCCTGGGTGGCTCAGATGGTTAAGCGTCTGCCTTCGGCTCAGGTCATGATCCCAGGGTCCTGGGATCGAGTCCTGCATCAGGCTCTCTGCTCAGCGGGGAGCCTGCTTCTCCCTCTGCCTCTCTCTCTGTCTCTTATGAATAAATAAATAAATCTTTAAAAAAAAAAACTCAAAAAATAAAAAAAGGCTGATGGTAAATGCACAAGAACAGTATATTCTTCAGCTCTAAATGCAGCTTAATACTTCTAAATATAAATACTTAGAGTGGCACTTTCAGCTCTGTTACACTTGTGTTACCTATAGCACAATTCATTATAGGTATTCAGTGTGGAGATTTATTTTGTTTACTTCAAAGGGAATGATTATTAAAAAAAAAAAACCTTTATTCTATTGCAATAACTTTGATATAATACTTTCTAGAAATCCTTTAGGGATAGACATCAAGCTGATTAGTATACGTTTTTCGTAATATAATTTTTACTGGCTTTGTTCAGCACAATTTAAAAAGCTGGCTATTATTTTTCTTTATTCCTTTCTCTTTTGAAATCATATTTTTAACTGGAAGAATATATAAAAATGTCTCCTGCCCCCAATCCAAATTTTTCTGTTCGCACTTAGAAACTACTTCTTTAAAAGTTTCAGTAAAAAAAAATTATCTTTAGGTGGTATTAATTTCATTTTATTACCTCATATAGGACTGTTGTGTTCCCATGCAGAAGAGGTCCATAACAGATATAGGAATGGCCAACAACCCAGCCTAAGTCAGAGGCTGCCCACCACACCTAAAAAATAAGATAATAAAATACGTAAGTGTTCACCAGGGAAATGTTATGTATCATAAATTTAAAGCCACAATTACCTCTCCAGGTTTAAGTCCATAGATAGAAGACATTGTCCAGTTTAGCATCACAGCATATCCCCCAGTGGGTCTAACAACACCCTAAAGGAGAGAAAACGTGAAGTCAACATCAGCAACCAGTGGGTTAAAAGATTATCTGCCTTCACACTATCCATCTTAAAAAGTCCCTGTTTAAATTATTTTATATTCTACAAACTACATACTACTTTGGCTTTCATATAATTGTATTTACATCAATATTTATTTGGCTCCCTCAATCATAAACACAGAAACATTTGTCTACATCAGTTCACTTCTAGAATCCATTTTCACAGACCATTCTTGACTTTCTAAAGAAAACTTAAGACCTCACAGAACCACAAGTAATAAAAATTTTTTTCCAGGGGTGACATAAATTAATGACATTACATTTACAGACATTTTTCCAGAATAAAAAAGGAAACTCTCAAAATTAAGTGCACAGAAAAGTCAAAGGTAATTGTATTCTTCAAACACCGGCTAACGTAAGGATGGCTATCCCTTAATATTATTAAATAATAATAGGATGCTTAGAGGAAATAAAGTCATATTCTAACTGGAGCCTCATTACAATGGTATACTGGGGATCGTGCTAGTATAGTATTAAAGCTAAACAATCCTTTAATGATGAATTCTGGAATTCTGACAAAGCAATCCTCCTGGGCCAGATCTAAGGCTGACAGATTCACCTTCTATTACATTTGGGGCAAAAGTAGGCATTGCTACATCACAGTATTAAGGCTTTCATTAACCAGTTTCTAGCAGCTATCCGTGATATTGAACATATTCAACTTTAACACAAGATTAATATTTGAAAACTGGCACAAGAGTCACCATAAATAAAAGCTGATGATAAATTTAATAATTGCATTTATTGCTTCACTATAATCATTAATCATCATTGGCTTAAAAAGGCTTAACCATGTGAATATTCAGAATGGTCAAGTGAATACTTGCTAAAAAAACAAGCTATATTTCACTCACATGAATTTTGAAACTTCCTTTAGTAGAGCAATTAATATTACTCTATGCAGAAAATAATTATTTTACCTAAAGGCAAACACGACCCTAATTGATACACGTACTACTAGCTGGAACTTTCTAGCGTAACTCAGAAGCTTTAACGTGCATACGTGAATCAGAGAAATGAAAAACAAACTGACTTTCCACTAGTTACTAAAGTTGCTGCTCTCCTCAGGTACCACTAATAAAACACAGGTATCAAGCTGTGGAACACATTTTATCTACCAGCGGAAACACCTGGCCTCTTGGCAAATGTCTCATGCAGCTTCATTGGCATTTGACAGCTACTTTCTACATTGTATGACACGGTTAGCATGCAGCTGGCTCTCCTGATCACCATCGGAGTATCAGAAATCCTTAGTCCCCTGCCAGTAGGTTTCACACGTGCACTTTCCCAGTATATTCTGTACTATCTTCCATGAACTTCCCTCATTACTTTGTTTTACTGAGATCTTTTTTTATGATTCAGTACCTTGAGGAATTTGATAGTCATCAACTTGCAAATTTTTTATTCATTTTGTAGAGAAGAAAAAGTGAAGCCTTTTTTCATAGATAATATGCTCTCCATATACTATGGTAGACAGTGATAAGTAATGTCAGTAATGATTTCATTTAAGATGTTTTAGAATTTTCTGTCCATCTACCAGTCCCTGCATTTAGAGCTCATTGTTATCAATAATTCAAAATATTATTATAACTAGGTACATTTTTAGATTATACTGTAAAAAGGGTAAGACGAATCAACTGAGAATGATAAAAAGGAAGAAAAGGCTAGAAAAAAACATGAGTAGTAATTCATTTGTAAAACTAAAAAGATAATTTAAGGAATAAACTATCAAATTTCTCTTTCCCTCTCAAGGGGACTTTATCCTTTACCCTTCTTTAAAGGATTATTAACCAATGCCGCTTTCCCCAGAAAATGGTGAGTGCTAAAATCCATTTGATGCCAAAAAAGTGGGACTTAAAAAATGAGACCATGCATGAAAAAACATTTAAAATTATAAAGTATCGGGGTGCCTGGGTGGCTCAGTCGTTGAGCGTCTGCCTTCGGCTCGGGTCATGATCCCAGGGTCCTGGGATCGAGCCCCGCATCGGGCTCCCTGCTCGGCTGGAAGCCTGCTTCTCCCTCTCCCACTACCTCTGCTTGTGTTCCCTCTCTCGCTGTGTCTCTCTCTGTCAAATAAATAAACAAAATCTTTAAAAATAATAAATAAAATTATAAAGTATCTATAATTTAGTATTATCTATAATTTAGTATCCTATTAACAAAAATATTTCTTTAGCTCTAGCAATTATTGCTTTTTATTTTTCCCTGTGCTGATACCACCCAAAGCCAGAAATGTCCAAACAACTAAAGGTTGCCATCAAAGATTCTCATTAAAAACAACTGAAATGGGGCGCCTGGGTGGCTCAGTTGGTTAAGCGACTGTCTTCGGCTCAGGTCATGATCCTGGAGTCACAGGATCGAGTCCCGCATCGGGCTCCCTGCTCGGCAGGGAGTCTGCTTCTCCCTCTGACCCTCCTCCCTCTCATGCTCTCTGTCTCTCATTCTCTCTCTCTCAAATAAATAAATAAAATCTTAAAAAAAAACAAAAAACAACTGAAATGGAGCAAATAGAGGAAAGCCGTGATGTCTGTTTTTCATTGGTCTTTGATATCCACTTATTTTTATCTTTTTTAAGGATAAGTATAAAAATTTCTGTCAAGTATCATTTTACCATTCATTAATCCAGATAATAGATCTGAAATTTGGTCTTTGCCTCCAAAATATTTGGGTAATAATTACCAATTTTCTGAGTATTTGATATGGTGTAGGAAAAAAACCTGCGTAATTCCATGTTCTTTCATGTAGATCTTTCATAGAAAGTTTGAAAGTAAAATAAAAATGGAAAGATTAGGTTAAAAAAGAGAATTTCTTTATTATAATATTAATATGTGACTAAAAATAAGATGATAAAGCTTTTTTTGTTTGTTTCTTGTTTGTAATCACATTTTCCAGGTAATGATAATTAAAATGCAAAAGAGAAACTTTGTTCAGTCTCTGAAAACACATAAATCATGCTCAAAAATGAAATCATTATATTCTAATAGTCAAAATAAATCAGAAACTAAAAACTCTTTTAAACATATTTGAGGGACATCTGGGTGGCTCAGTCAGTTAAGTGTCTGCCTTCGGCTCAGGTCATGATCCCTCATCAGGCTCCTTGCTCAGCGGGTACCCTGCTTCTCCCTCTGCCTGCCACTCCCCCTGACTGTGCTCTCTCCCTCTCTCTCTCCCTCAGTCTCTCTCTCTGACAAATAAATAAATAAAATCTTTTTTAAAATAAATAAATAAAACATATTTGAAATCTTGAGTATGAGGTAAAAACAATCAATATCAGTGCTTACCCCTAAAACCCAAGCATGCTGCATTTTACTCTCTTGAATGTCTGTTATTACTTTCCTTATGTACTTGTACTCTATCTACCTTAAAAATTAAAACATTGGATAAACTAATGTATTGTCAGAAAAGCCCTGTAACCTGCCAGTATACTGTTCTGGTATTTGTAGTATTAGCCATAACACTTAAAGTCTACTGGAAAACTTGAAAGACTTCTGGGTGGGAATAACACTCTATACCCCAAATAAAGACATGAAAGTGAATTCTACCTCAAAAATGCAAAAGGAGACGACATAAAGGTGCTTTTTAAAACAAACAAAACAACAATAATAATACATTTTTAATGTATATGGGCATTTTAAAACTTCAATCCACATAGGTAAAATTAAAGGCTGGTTATTAGTCACCCATGAATAGGACCACAGAATCATCCCAGATGGTTCTTTATGATTTCCAGTTTAATGAGCTTCCTTTGAAAACAAGGAAAACCACAAAATATCATAAATGGGGCCATTAAAGTAAAACATAAAAGAGAACCTGTCTGCATCAAGTGTGGTATGCAGTTTTGGTTGCCACAACTTAAGAAAAATACAGAACAATATGGGTTTTAGCAGCAGAAGAAGAAAGACTGAGTGTGGTAAGATTTTGAGTTTAGGATTCTTCATCCTAAAAGTGGGTTTTTTTCCTTAGTTGATTTATAAAAATCTGAAAAGCAAATCTTAAAATACTCAGGTAAGAGAAGTTTAGAGTACTCAACAAAACTTCATACTTTTTAAGTTGAGCCCCTTTGTCATCCTACTCTGTAACAAGCTTATATAAAACAAATATGCATATTTTCATCCATGATATATGTATTTATTCACACATCTATGTGTAAATATATATGCTTATGCATATGTGCATGCATGTTTCAATTCAACCTGACAAGTTGGAAAAAAACAAAAAGAAAGGGTAAATATTTTACCTAAATACAAGAAATCGATCACAAGATGATGATTGGGGTCAAGTGAATTGAGAAATAAAAGATTGAGTTCTGATTACTTAAAAAATCCAACAGATCAACAATAATCTTGTTCTTATAATGGCTTTACTGATGATATCCCCTCTTTCTAGAATGAACCACCACCCCACCTCTTCCCTAAACGTGGTTAGCTCCTACTTCATCAGAGAACGACTTAAAGACATCATGAAAGTGCCACCTCATCTGGAAGTTGTCCCCAACCCCAGTTTGTGTTAAGTGTCTCTCCTGATTCTTCCTTGGCTCCCAGGCTGGCTCACGTCCTTGGAGTGACCAGCTGGACTGAGGGCTGCATTTTCCCCCCTATTCTGAGAATGCTTCTTCATCTTCAGCACAGTAACTGCCGTGGAGTAGGCATGTAATCCATTTGTTGACTGATTCAATACGTGAACAGTTGAGTGAATACGCACATGTAAGAAAAATACAATTCTTGTTTTAAATAGTCTTCTTTGTTCAGGAGAAAGCTTTGAAACTTGTTGAACTTAGTGATTCGTATTAGTAGAAATGGAATGGTTCCATATGGGATAGTGCATCAAACATAAAATCTCTTGCTGCCGGCTTTCGGAGGGCTCTGAAGCTGCCTCTACAGAGGATACTTTAGCAGCAATATTTTTTATTGATCTGAACAACTGTGAGATAAGA